ATACTGAAATTCATTCTTAATAAGGTTTCATCCTTTCTCTTATTTCAACCAATTCCGTATCTGGAACTCTCTAAAAGGGCAAAACATTGTTTCTAATGAAATTATGAATTAGAGTAAATGCCAAAGATTCCTCAGTATATTTAAAATGTTTTATGTTACAAAGCACCAAATACAGCAAAATGTACAGATTTACTTTTTGGCAAAGAAAACACACCACAGTGGAGTCAGAATTCTGAATTTAAATCCTGGATTCACTACTTATTCTGTAACCTTGGGGAAATTTCTCAACATTTCTATAAAACAGCTAGCTACCTCCTAGTAAGCAATAATCCATAAGGCCAACAGATTATCTCCCTAAATAAGTACCAGCAAAGCAGAGGTACCAAAAAATGAGAAAAATGCTTTTAAAGAATGTGATGTTTGAAAAATACTTCAACTTAACTACAATGGTACAAATGAAATTTTATTAGAATTTCTTATATTTGCTTTAGTATGATTTTTTTTTTTTTTTAAATAACTTACGGGAGGGGAGGTGAAGTGTCTCAGAATGTAACCTTTCCAGTGCTTAGGAGTTTCTAACAGCTTTAAATCCAGCACTGCTTACCTCAAAGCATTGCTGTTAAAGATTAAAGGAGTCAATCAGAGAAAGACATGTTATATGATCTCACTGATATGAGGAATTCTTTTATTTTTATTTTTATTTATTTATTTATTTTTAAAAGATTTTATTTATTTATTTGACAGAGAGAGAGATAGGGAGAGCAGGAACACAAGCAGGGGGAGTGGGAGAGGGAGAAGCAGGCTTCTTGCTGAGCAGAGAGCCCGATGTGGGACTCGATCCCAGGACCCTGGGATCATGACCTGAGCCAAAGGCAGATGCTTAACGACTGAGCCACCCAGGCGCCTGATATGAGGAATTTTTAATCTCAGGAAACAAACTGAGGGTTGCTTGAGTGGTGGGGGGTGGGAGGGATGGGGTGGCTGGGTGATAGACATTGGGGAAGGTATGTGCTATGGTGAGCACTGTGAATTGTGTAAGACTGTTGAATCACAGACCTGTACCCCTGAAACAAATAATACATTATATGTTAATTAAAGAAAACTACATATAAACCATTTGAGCCGAGTTGGGTATATTTGAAAACCCTTCCTGGAGAGACACTGAGACACTTGAAATAAAAAAAAGTAGGACCTATACAAAGATGTTAAAGGACTTCTCGTGATATCCTCAGATAAAAAGTTCTTTTATTGTGTAAGACTGTTGAATCACAGACCTGTACCTCTGAAACAAATAATACATTATATGTTAAAAAAAAAAGTAGGAACGGAAAAATGAAGGGGGGGAATCGGAGGGGGAGACGAACCATGAGAGACGATGGACTCTGAGAAACAAACTGAGGGTTCTAGAGGGGACGGGGTGGGGGGATGGGTTAGCCTGGTGATGGGTATTAAAGGGGGCACGTACTGAATGGAGCACTGTGTGTTGTACGCAAACAATGAATCATGGAACACTACATCAAAAACTAATGATGTAATGTATGGTGATTAACATAACATAATAAAATTAAAAAAAAGAAAAAAGATTAAAGGAGGTGACACACATACCTACAACACTTAACATAATGCTTATGTCAAACAATAGACCTCAAAAATTGCCATCACTGTTATTACTATTGTCATTAGGATTACTTCTCTCCACACATTTTAGACTAGAACCTTTCTCTCACACCACCTTTGTGGTAAACGTCATCATATACACACACTTTTTATTCTCATGCTTCCAACACTAGTTCAACAATAACATAAAGGTCTTTGGGGGGAAAAAAAAACTTTAAATAGCCAGTCCTTAAAAACAGCTTTATCATCAGTCATTAGGTCAATAAACTAAAGTTGGAATTGGGAAATCCTATGCTGAGGAAGAAAAATGCCTTCAGCAGAGACATAGCTTTTAACATACTCCTCTTACATTATATGTAAAAATATATTCCTATGATTCAGCTGAATTTCTAGAGCAACAGCACACAGCGTGTTTATTTAAATATTACTATTCCGGAGTCAATTAAAACCTCCAAAAGAAATGGAGATTAATCATGCTATCACACATACTGATTACTCTTTTAATTACACCCTTTCCAGGCTTCAAAGTGAAGAATTTAAAAGTCAAAAGACAACACATAAGGTATAGCACACCTTAAGTGAAAATAACAGTGGTCAAGAGTGACTGTAATAAAACATTTTTCTATTGAAGCATTACTTCAAAATTATAGGGAAGATTTGCTGTAACAAACTACAATTGCACAGAAAGGGATCGAATATATAAAGTATAAATAACATATACTGTAAAATTAAAAAAAAAACTGTCATAATAATTGTTTATTTTTATTCACAGTTAGAAAAACCAAAACACTAAATGAATCATTTAAAACTCCATTACTCAAGCCACTGGTAGAATGTGAAATATTCACTTACATGTTAAACTGTCCATTAAACACTGGCTGAAAAATCACTGAACCAGACCATATAGGGTGTATCTATAGGTTTTAGAGTGGCTCCCAATACACCTTAACAAGGTGTATTTCAAACCCTTACTTTATTTGGCCCTTACCTGTCTGCCCACCCTTGTCTCTCAACCACATGCCTTTTACAACCAGCACCCTCACTGTACAGATTACAGCTCTTTAAACACACTGCATTCTTGTTCACATTTAAAATAGGTTCCCTACCTTTCTGGTCCACTTGAAGAAGTTAAATATAGTCATATTTTAAGACGTGGTTCAAGATTAACCTCCTCTATGAATACTTTTCCTACCATAGTAACCCCTCCACACAATCTATGACTGGTTCTTTTACACCCCCATTTTCTTTCTATATACAGTTGACCTGTGAACAACACGGTTTGAACTGTGTGGGTCCACTTATATATGGGTTTTTCCTCAATAAATACAGTACATGACTGTAAATGTATTTTCTCTTCCTTATGATTTTCTTAGCATTTTCCTTTCTCTAGCATACAAAATATATGTTAATTGACTACATTATTAGTAAGGCTTCCAGTCAACAGTAGGCTATTAGCAGTTAAGTTCTGGGGGGAGTCAAAAGTTATAGGTGGACTTTTGCCTGTGCATGGGGTCAATGCCCCTAACATCTGTGCTGTCTAAGGGTCAACTGTAGTAACATAATACCTATGCTATTTGAGTACACTTACCTAATGTTATGTCACCTCTTACTGAACAATGAATTCCCCGAGAGTAAGGTCGCTATCTTATTCATCCTTCTACGTCCAGTAACTAGCACTGTACCTCATACATAATAAACACATACAATACACATATGATGAATGGATGGATGCGTGAATTAAGTTTGACCTTGTACTAAGGTAGATTATGAAAAAAATCTTGAGAACTAAAAAACATTCTCCCTCCAACAATCAAATTCAGTTACTACTTAAAAATTGTGGCAAGGAAATAAGAAATACAAACTTCACTGCAGATATTCAGAAGTGAAAAGAAAAGTTTTATGGCTAACTCAGAAAATAAAATTTCCATTAGTTATATGTTTGTAAATTTCAGTTTACTATAATCATAATAAGACAACTGCTATGTATTCAGTTAGGATAAACAAGTATCAGTAGAATTTTCTTTATAAATCCCAATTTTTAAAACAATACCATTATTTTCAGAATGTTAGAGCAAAACCATTTACAAATGTGGAACATATCTTGATATAAATTAAACTGCAAAAAAGTTAAGATAAATGAGACTGATCACAGAATTAACAATACGATAACTTATTTCCAAACTGAAGTTTATCAGCATAATACCTATCATTACCATGGGGTCAGGCCTCCAATATCTGTTTAGTTAATTCCCTAAATTAATTTTTCTCTGAAAAAAAAAACAAACTAGTATTTTTTATCTGTATTTCTGACACTTGATGTGATTTAAAATAGTAACAATAACAAATAATATTCATAGCTACATTACCATGTAATGAGTATTTACTAAATGCTACTTACCATTTCACATATAGATAGATCATTTAAGGCTTATAACGATTCTATTATCTTTGCATTCATAGCCCTGTGAGGCAGTCCAACAAGAAAACAGCCTCTGGAAATTCAATTACCTAAAGTCTTACCACCAATAAAAGGGAAAGGAAGGACTGTCTGATTTCAAAGCCTCTACCCACTCTGCAACAGTATACCACTTCTCTTAATCCTTCATTAAATATGTTACTCATCTAACTTAACCAGTATTAAGATTAGGTTGACATTATATTAAATTTATAACAGGAAAGGAATATAATGCCAGTACTGAGAGCAAAACTAAACACTTTAAGATGAACTTTTCATGTAACTGTAAGAGTAATTCATCATTTTGAATAACGTAACTAAATCGTGGCATAGAAAGGAATTAAAATTATGTTTTCCTTTATGTGATATAAAAAACTTATAAAGACTTTTTTTATTAAGTAATATAAATTAGTCCAGTTATTTCTAGATCAGTCTGTTTTTCAAAGTTTATTCTTTCAAACATGGAAACTAGTGAAAAATATTTTTCTAAATCAGTAAGTCACTTAATATATAGGTAAAATTTCTAATACTTTGAAATTTATTATATTTTCATCAAAGAACTCTTAGAAATATAAAGCACTATACAAACATTAACACTTACTAGTACAGTAATCATGATTCATCATTTAAACCTATACACTTTTTGAAGATTATTGACTATTATTAAAATGTAACAGCAGATTTAACTAGGACCGTCCCAATAACCAAGACATGTGGACATCTTAACTGTTGCCCTCAGTCTTCTGTTATTCATTACACTCATAGTCCTCCTCCAACTACTTAGTGGAAAGATATACATGCATACTATATAAACCATTTGGCTACCTATTTTACAGGAGCACAATATTAAACTATCTTTGTTAACTATCCATGTTTAAAAAGGCTATTAAGATAATTCATATTAAAACTTCAATAACTTCCACCATACCTCATTCTGAAGTTCATCACCACTTTTAACGGAAGCAAGCATATCATATAAAGTACAGCAAAGATCTTCTATTCTTGTTGCTTCAGCCATTTCATTTAAAGTTGCATTTAAGTACTTCTCAACTTCACACCACAAAAAGGAGTCGTTTGTTTTTTCCACAGGCTTGAGCTCAGGGGTGGAATGCTCCTGAAAATGTTCATTCAGAAACTTCTTATAATCAAGGCTTATAGTTTTCTGGGGTTCACCATTTATTGGCAACTCGTCAAAGTGGTCCAAATCATGCATGTCAAATGAAAATGCTAAATTTTTACCAAATAAAACTCTATCACTATTTTCTTCCTCTGTCATCTGGATAAGAGCAGTGAGATTGTCTTGACGGAAACGAGAAGTAATTCGATTAGTAGCATTACAAGCTGCAGTGGCCGATGATGATGGAAAGGGACCAAACATCTGCTTGATAGCTTTTGTCTCCTTGTGACCAATGGAGTCCTTCAAGTGAAATGTCTTGAAGAGAAATGCAGCCGCACTTTCAACTGCTTCTTTCCCATTATCTATTCCAACTATTCGAAGATGAAAGAAACAGTATTAGCTCAAGTGAATCACCGTTGAAGTTAACCTCTTCAAAAAAAACTACTACAAATATTCTTCTGGGTAATTCCAGCAGTGAAAATATACTGATAAAGATAACCAATTTAGGAACAGAAAAATCCCTTTAAGTCCCTTCCCAAATTCCCAAAGAACCATATTAGGTCAATAAATCATTACTGGTAATCATTCCCTATCTAGAAAGGAGAAACTACCTGGTAACAACTCTTTACCTCTTTCTAAAAACAGTTTGAGGCATTAGCTAAAACTTATTTAAGTGATTTTTAAAAATTGATTTGATAGGCTAGTTAAATAAACCAAAATAAGGTATACAAAATATATCTGAATTACAGACTTTTAGAGCTAGGAGAAAACCTCAGGAGATCTATAGCTTCCTTTCCAATTTGTACTGTGAATCTGAAATGGCAAGAAATAGATTTATATAGTTTTCACTCAAAAACATTTAATACCATCAAGGATGGACATAAATAGAATCTTGTCAAATAAACTTAGCCATATTATAAAACATTTAAAAGAATCTGCTGTTTAAAAGAAGTACACTTCTTACCAAAGTAAGAGGAAGTAAAGGAGCAGCCACTAATCTCTTTAAAGCATTAATTCCTCATTACTGATTTTCTCAAATAAAAGAAAGAACGAACCTGTATCTGTGTCATAGAATTCAAATAGTCTTAGAACAGAAAAAAATAATTTTAATCTTCAGAAGGACCCACAGACAATGTGACTGACCTTAAAGAATAAAGTTAGTAATATAACTACTAGTATCTTCCTGAAACCATGGCTGCAATTCTATCATTGATCACAAATCTTGAGCAGCTTAGCACAGCCTGATATTCAGTCCAAACTCCTATATTTTGTTTTCAAGTCACCCTAGGAGCTGACTCCACCCTTTTATTCCAGCCTTATTGACCATTATCCATTTCTAACTCCAGCCAACAAGGATTTCTTAACATCTAAAAACCAGGTCCTGTCCTATGCTATGCCTATTTCTATGCCTTTATGTAACCTTCCCCAAAGTCTCTGATTATCCAAATTTTACCCATGTTTCAGAATCCAGCTTAACTGACTCTTTCAGGGGTGACTATAATATTGTGTACAATGTTGTACTCCTTCACTATTCCTAGCCTAAAATAGGTGCCTCAATAGAAATATGTTGAATTAACCTAAACCCAGGCCTCAATGACACCAGACTAGTGGTTTTACACTATATGACACTGCCTCAGTAATTTTTTATCTGATGTTTACACATGTGTGTAGAAGACTAACAATTTATATGAGTGAAGATAATTTTACAACGGCTATTATTTCTAATTTCCTCAAGTATAAAGTCTACTTGCATGATTATAAAGAATTTACAAAACAGTATGGGACACATATTCTTTTATTATTTAGGAAAATACATGACAAAAAACTTCTATAAATTAAGTAACCCTTTAATTGAATAACATTTATGTACATTTTACTTAGTCTATACATGATGCTTAGAGAACTTGGGTTTTGAATAATTTAGGAATTGTGATAATTCTACAAGTAATTCAATAGGGTTGGGACTACTGAGGTCTGAACAAAAATGGAACTTACATTTTCAAACTCACTTTATATCTAACACCATAAACATATATTCTTTTGTAAAGATATTTTACACCTTGGGATATTTCTTAACTTCCTAAGAACTTTTACATTAAATTATCTCAATTTTTCCTAACAAAATTATCTTCATCTTACAGATGCTAAAATGGGGACTCAAAGATAAATAACTTGGAAGAAATCAAACAGCTAGTTATCAAATGAGATTCAAACCAGATTTCTAATTCCTAAACAAAGTACTTCACTACATACACTGATTCCCTATAAATTCCCAGAAAGCAGATTTATCTCTAATTCTCATGTACTAAATAAATAATAAACACTTTAGGAAATAAAGTACTAACTGTGAGAACAGTCTTAATTTATTACCAAAAGTGAAATTGTACCATCATTACATCACTGGTTAAAGTATGTTACAGCCATATACTGCATTCATTAAATATAATGCAGTGGAACTACACATCTTGCCAGAAAACAATCTCCATAGTATAGTAAGTGGAAAAAAAGTTATAAGTCTACGTTTGAAGAAAAGTAACTACAGACTCTTGGAAACATATCTGAAGATCAAAAACATTTTTTCAGGGTTTCAAATTTTTAAATGAATACTGACATATCTATTTGTAAAAAAAAAAAAAGTCTTTAAAAATTTTTAAGTCAGATGTTAATACCCTTTCCTAATTATTAACCCTACCCTCGCCTATTAACTCTCCTTCTGTACAACCTACTCCAGCATATCTTTGAGTAGGACACGTGTTCACACCACAGAGTGGGTTCTTTTTTTTTTTTTTAAGTGAATCAGCACCACGCTATTCAGGAGTCTGGAAATTCATTTTTGAGAAAAATTAGCAAACACCACTTATGGCCACTGTTGGCTTTCCAACAGACTACAGCATTCTGAAAACAATGGGGCACTAAAACACGCAATGCCGGCTTTTTGCCACGCTGCCTTCCGGCAACCCCACGCGTGTCTTCCCCGCCCAGAACCGAGACCCGCGTTCGTTCGCGCGGTCCGCACATGATGACGTAGTAAGCACAGGACACTGGCTGTTAGCCGACCACCCTGATAAGAAGGCACCTCAGGATTGGAGCAGAGAACCCTGGCCTCACGCAGGGCGGCAACAAACGAACCACCCCGTTTACTAACACTTGCCCACCCAGGAAGCCAGGACTCCGATCTTTTGGTGACTAAACTATACGAAAGGTACTTGTAAAACACGGAGAAAACATCTGAGGAGACTGAAAGCAATCTATGTCTGACTTGTCAAAGGTCTGGCAGGCCCCACCTCCCCTCAACAGAAATGGCAGGAGAAAGGAAACCTCCAGGAAGCCGCGCTTGTCCATCGACCAGCTGAACCGGAGCATAACTAATGCGCCACAGGGAGAGAAGGGGGAGACCTAGGAAACGCGTGTGGTGTGCTTCTAGAGTGGAAACTTGTAATAAGCAGTCCTTTTCTTACACTGTACCCAAAATTAAATTTATGAGATTAACTGTGAGGATGTTGTTCACAAATAACCTCTTTATTTTTATGTACATCGTAATACTATTTTATATTTTATGCACAATGTAAGACTGGTGAACTTTTAAATGATTATTTAGTAGGCTAAAAGCTCTTCAGCAACTTAACATTTGCTCCGATTTTCAACCCTTTTCTATTTCACACGACTGCCTGTGCTAATCTTTCTGGACGGATTTTAAGCAGCTTAGTTTTGTCCTCAAGATAAAACATCAGAAAAGAATAAGATACACACTAAGTAATCAATTGTCAAAGCTTGAAACTTAAGATCTCCAAACCTTTAAGAAAGCTAGTCTAGATACCTAACTACTTGAACATCAAATTTTCTATCCATAAACACTATACAAGTTGGACTGTAAATCAGAAAACTGGCTCTTATCACCTGGCACTTCAACTGTAACACATTTAAAGAGATATGCTTAGTTAGGTCACTAGACTATTCTGTATTAATAATAAATACTTCTTGCCCTGCGTACTTCCCAGTTACATTGAGAGAAAATTAGTTGTGAAATGTAAACTATATAATTGGCAGCTGATCACTGTAACATTATAAAACACATTTTTAAAATCATAGTTCAGTGATGATTATAATCTTAAATCATTCTTGACACAAAATTTACTTCTATATCCTTTGATAGCAAAATACTAAGAATTAAAGGGTTGTAAACTATAACTTTTAGCAAATAACCTACACGTTAATAGTTGGGGAATTCTTAAAGAAGAATGAATAAAAAAATTTTAATTGAATAAAAACATCCATCAACTGCTTGCATCCTTAACTGCTAATATTCAATTTACAAGTTGTTAACAAATGAGTTCTCTGACCAGTTACATCTTCAATGTTCAGTAGAAAATACTCTATAAGTATCTTCTAGATTTATATTTTAGTATTGAAATGTTCAAAGCAGTCAAATGTACTTTTTCATGTTATGCAAAACTTTTAAGTGTTCATTTTACCAAACACTTGATCTGCAACTGTAAATACCGTAATATTATAACCCTGCATCAGTGTCAGCTGAAGTTCATTCCATTTGTTAAAAGTATCAGCAACACAGCCAAGCCATTAGAAACATGCTATATTTGCAGAGATTAGCTGATTTTTTAACCGATAATTATGATACATTTTTTTACAAATATGTAAAATATTTGTGCCATAAACTTTCCCAGGACAGCATTACATATATAAAAAAAGTACAGAAGTAAGGATTCTGCTTAAACATACACTATTCCATTCCCCAATCATTTCTTTCCCTTTACATATTCCCCTCCAGTGCCATTGGGGTGGGCTTTTTAACAAGAATAGTATCTAAAATCGTCTAAAATGAATCATGCAAGTATCTTCCTCATGTGACAGAGAAACTCAAATATACTGAGATTAAATAACATATTAAGACTACAAGAGCCAGGATTATGTTTTCTTTTTATATTATACCATCTTTCAAATAATCACCAAATTGTCAAATTTATGATGTAATACAGATAAGCATCTACCATATGACTTTTTGGGGGATGAACTGAATAATTTATGTCATCTAAACTTTAAAATTGCCTAGTTATGCAATTTAGTATAATGAATGACCTTCATTTATTTCAGAGTGTAACTCTGCATCAAAGCACCTCCAGCAAAACCTCACATTAAGTAGCCATAGTATTCAAGAAATGTTCAAGATAGTAATTTAAAGGAGTTGCTTAAATGTTAAAATTATTCCTGCACTTACACAGAAATTATTGCCTTCACGGTGAGCAAATAATTAAAGGAAAGCAAACAGAGAAACATACTTGATAGAGAAAAAGAGAAGTACAAGAGATTAAAAATAGTCCAAAGCACTTCCCCATGTTTTAAAGTCAGCCAATTT